AAACAATACGACCATTTACAAATTGTTTAATATCTCACGCTACGCGGAAAAATATTATAATCTTCCGGTTAGTTAATAACAGACTTTGGGGAAAAGAAATTTTTTACTTCCAAGTACACACGGGTATCAACTGTTTCCACTTGCTGCACTGGGCATCAGAAAGTAAAATGGGGCGCATTACAGATTCGGTTTAATGCGTGCGTCAAAACTCTGAGAACTCCAACCAGAATCAATTAACGATAGCTTTTATGTATCTTAGTAAATCTGTGAAGGCCACGCGGTCTGAGGCATGGACCTCGTGTGCCTGGTCGCTGCGACCGTGGGTTCGAGTCCCACTCAAGGCATGGATGTTTGTCCGCGTCTTTCTGTGTTTGTATAGGTACAGGCCTTACGTCGGGCTGATCACTCATCCAAGGAATCCTACCATTGTCCAAATAGATCAATAGAATAAGTAAAACCTCGACACCTACGGGTAAAAGAGGATGAGAGAAAGAAAGAAAAGTAAATCTGTGAAGTACGTTCAGTCAGCGCGAATAACACAATAAAGACAACAAGAATCTTCTCCGACCCGTAGTTAATTCGGCCTACCGGAACATAATTATCCACCCCTGCAGTAACACACACATTCCAAATATGGCATTCCATCTATGTTCCGCTAAGGTCTTCTAAATAAAGCACAATGGAAATGTAAGTCATCACTGGAATCTTGAGGTATAAACTGGGGCAGGTCTCTCCTTATTTGCACTAGAACTCGGCACGTTTTAATTACACCAACCTTCAGGCACAACTTAGGACAACATGTAGTTGCGAACGCGCTTAAATAAACTCTCAAAGAAGAACTGGATTGGATTAATCTGGCTCTGGATCAGTGGAGGGCTCTTATGAACACAGAAAGGGCCTTTAGATTGCATAGAAGGTGGAGAATTTCATGAACAACTGAGCACCTATCAGCTTCTCTATCACAACTCTGCTCCACAGAGTAGTTCCTGCAATAAACTTGTCGCATCATCGGTCTCATGTTGATACGGACAAGCGACTGTTACAGCAGCAGATATCGTAATATCACGACGTTCTGACGGCGACGCTATGAATCGGAAGGCATCTTAAGACACTATCCCACGTCTCGCCAGGAGAAACTGGGGGAAGAATATATAGTCCTCAATCAGAACAGCGGGTCCCTGTCTGGGATTAGAACAGAGTGTTTTAAAGCTCGGATATGCAAACTGCAATACATCGTCTTGGTACGCAATAGGAAGAACACGACGTATCGCAGGCAGTAGATACGGGTCAGCAGAACCCGAGGAACGAATGCAGCGTCAACAAAACGTGTGATACTTGCAGAAGTCGCTGTTCGAAACAGTGAGCAAAACGAATTTTCCAAACTTTTTCAAGCTACACACGAGATATATCCCTGCACAGAATCAGTCAATGAAACGTGTCCCACCATTCACAAACAGAGAAAACTATCCGTGGCGTTTAAACAACATACATTTTACTTTACCATGGAAAAGTGGGCTATAACAAAAGAAGGCTTCTTGTCGTGACAGGAGTAGAAAGAAGCAATTCAATTCGGTGTTACGTATTTTCCAGACGTGTTCCTTGTACATACCTCACTGGCCTTTATGTTCATATACAGCTAAGTAAAATCTTGTAGAGGGACGAATACAAATCGTCTTTTTCATAACCTCAAATGTTTAATTTCATTGATACAAATCTTATACAGTATATTGTTAAGACATATTCTTAAAAGGGAACAAGAGATAACATTCTTCAGTATTACAAAGCAAGTGAAACCTAAGTTGTCTGTGAATCTTAATCTACAGTGTTCAAGCAAGATGGCTTTCAGTTTCGTACAGACACGCATTTTATGAAATGTGTGTCAGCGAACCGATTAGCAGGGATTCGCAACAGAAACAAAGCGAGAGCTACTGCTACTATAGGAAGATAGGTAAAACGTCTGTGGTAACGAGGCATGTCTGTGAGTCGACGTCAAAATCTGGTAAAGATAAACAGGGGATCAGAGTTGTCAATGTATTAAAAGAATTTAAAGAAAAATCGACTTATCCATCTGCATATGAAGTGGCAAGTCGGAATTAGTGCAGTCAGAAGTGACTCGAGAAAGCAAAAGGCCTTGTGGTACAAAACACTTTCATGTAAAGTCACTGGAATGAGACTGTAATCACAACTGCGCACATAGGCTACGTACAAGGCGAACTGGCTTCTGACTGTATAAACCGTGAATAAATAACGGAACAAATTCCTTTATTCTCCGCCAACATCATGCTGGGAATAGATAACGAAAACGAAAAAATTGTATCTGTAAACCAATTTATCAGCTGAAAATTCGGGTTCCTACGGCGACGATTATGAAGATGACTGTCTTACGATCTGTTACGCCGTGTAGTCTGGTTGAAGTTTAACAACGTTTCCATCATCAGGGCGAAGAATCCTCATGATGGATCTGGTAAGGGCCACTGAAATTGCAAACTTCAACCAGACTACAAGGCGCAACATCCCAGTCAGTCATCTTCATTTTAACAGCTGTTAACTTAGTAAAACCACTGCTGCCAAGTTTCCATTAAACTGAATATCATCTCGAGATGGAAATGAGCTCCATGCAGTATCTCTGTTTTTGAATAAACGTACATATCTAGAAAAGTGTTCTGAAGTATAATTTCTACATCCTCAATTCGTCTTTTGTTGCTATCACCCCATGTCCACGTATCAACCCTGTGTTTTATACTGGTTTAACCAACAGTTTGTACAAATTCATATATTTTACGAAAATGTTTTCAAAAGCCAGCGAATGCACCTGTGTGGCCACGCCACTGGCTAAGGGACCTTGGAAACTAACACAGACCTCCCTCCAACCTCAGCCCGAGTCAGAGAACTCATTAGAGTCAGCCGGCTACCTGCGGGTGGAACCACAAGTTATCAGCGACACAGCCCAGTTTTAGGGGACGTAAACATGTGGGGTGTGGGGTGTTAAGTGTGTACATGGCGACGGACCATCGGGGATTTACTTGATCAACTGAGAAATTTCTTGATTCAAGAATTTGACCAGAAGCTAACAGCAGTTCAATTAGTCAAGAAATTCCCCGCCATTCATTGCCGTGCTCATAAGAGGCTTCCCGCGGTTGGTATCCCAAGGAAGGTCAAAATACTCCACCCTATTTCTCTACGATCCACTTATATATACGCTCCCGTCTACTCCTAGGTCTTGTAAGTAGTCTTTTCTCTTCATACATGGGATTAGTTCCTAAAATGTTACTGTTTATCTTTTTTGGAATGTCTTTCCTTCACAATAAGCACTGTCCCCCCCCCCCCCCCGCCGC